AGGAGGTGAATAAACAGCATGTGCTGAGTCGGCTGGGACAGGAGCCCCAGCTGCTCACAGGAAGGCTACTACATGCCGCCAAGTGGGTTACATCATCTACGTCTTCATACGCAGGAGTTTCGCAGCGGTGATGTGCCTCCGCCTGGATTCTGTGTAATGTGTCAGCTTTGCATTATTGTGGAAGAGGAAAAAGAAAAAGAGGAGGGGGGAGATGATGAAGAGGGAGGAGGAAGAATAATGGAAGATGAGTGAAAGAGGATGAAGATAAGGATAAAGTAGGAAAAAGAGGAAGGAAGGAAGGAAGGAAGGAAGGAAGGAAGGAAGGAAGGAAGGAAGGAAGGAAGGAAGGAAGGAAGGAAGGAAGGAAGGAAGGAAGGTGAGAGGTGTCCAATTTGCTTGATATTCAATATTCCCTGCTTGCTTGGTCCACAAATGTGTTCTCCAAATGAATCTGAGATTCCAAATGCATCTGAGTAAGTAGACTTAATTCTACAAAAGCTCATGCTGCCAACTTCTCTCTTTCAGTTAATCTCAAAGGTGCTACAAGATCTCTCTACATACTTTGTTCTCATATGGTGATTTTGTAGGACACAGCTGCATACTACAAAGGAAAGGTTGGGTCCCAATATATTTGTGTGATGAGCTAGCTACTCTACTCATGGCTGCATCTGCCTTGTTCCACCTAATGCCTCATTTCATAGAAAGGAGGCATTCATACATTCCCACCCTCCCTCCTCACATGCTTTTCGATCCCTCTTCCCCGTTCAGTTCACCTCCCTTTTTTTTCCTCTCTCCTTCTCTCCCTTTCTTTCTCTCAGGCTCCTTCTCAGCTCTGGGAAAACTTCAGGGCTGATCCTCTTAGGTTCCAGCCAAGCCTGTGATGTGATAAACATTTATTGCTTGTAACCATAGGCCATGGCAAGCTCTACAGACTTAAAAGCTGTCTAGAACAAAAATATAAAACTCGAACAGATGAGCTTCCCCATTTCTCACTTAATATACAAGGCAATGCTAAAATAAGTCCTTCATAATAAATCCCAAAGCTTTGTCTTGTCATACGTTGCTCAGGTTAATGTAAGGTGGGCACTTGCAACCCACCCACCCCCCCAAAAAAAAGAGGTGATGACTGCCAAAATGAAGAACAAAGGATAACACGGTTTTGCACAGAATATGGATGTCTCACGGATATGTATAGATGCAAGTTGTGGCATAATTGAGTCCTGCTTTAAAGAGGAATATAGTACCTGCCCTTATAGTCAGAAGATTATAATCAGGATTTGGGGTATTTCGAGGAGGGTACAGGGGGTGCATATCACACTGGGTGACACCTCAGAGAAGGTATCTACCTACTGATGTGAAGTATATGGACATGCTTTTCCATGGGTAGACCCGCATTCCCAGAGACTGAAGGTCCTGGGAAAGACCAGTCCACCCACCCAGAGCCAGCAAGGAGGCCAGCCTGGATGCTGTTGGCACATCATGGGAACTCCTGGAAGACTCTCCCATTGCTGAACAGAGCCTGTTTTTGAGAGTCCTAATCCAACGCTCAAACCACTACACCATGCCGGCTCCCATAAACCCAATTGCGATGGTGTAAATGAACTGCACCACTGTGGAACCTTTGGATTCTCACAAAAGAATGGAGACATAGCTATGCTATTGGGACCATTGCACAAGTGGAGCAAGCAATGTGGTCATGAGCAATGTGTCCTGTTATGTGATGTGTTCTATTGCTTAAAGGGTCCCATTGTATAATGGGATATTTTGAATGGTGCCCTTTTGTGCATCATCACAATTCACTAGTGTGGGTGCATATTGTGCTAGTGTTATAGCTCCCACATCAGAATGTTACAGCCTCATAGACTCTGATGCAGGAGCTCAGCCTAGAATTGTAGCTAATCACTTTTTAAAAAGCTTTTCAATTGTCTGTAAGTGGAATGGATAATGGTAGTGTCATTTTTTGCCTTTTCCTATTGGCAACTAATCATCTTGGGCCAGCCCTGCATATAGAAAGAAATTCCTGCATGCACTAGATGATGTATCTCTGGAACTGGTTGCGGCAAAGATTTAGTTCTTCCTTTATAGTTTTGTCCTCTATATGCCTCTCCCACAATAAAGCTGCTATTCTCTCATATGTCTCAATATACTGGGTGTTCAGCATAGGATATAGTAGTGGCACACTTAAGTTTCAAATGTGTATATCCTGTCATGTTGCATTATGGGCAATTGCAGCAAAGAACCTGTTTTGAACAAAGGATCAGTTGACTGTAAAGATCTTTGTGACGTGGCCTGTTTTACACAGAAAATTCCTCTGTTGGGATAGCTTTCTCTCCATTCAAAGGAATCTTCTATTTCAAGAGTTGTCCGGTCTGAGTCTGGTCTCCCTCATTTCCCTTCTTGTGATATTTTTGCATGGGCTTCAATTATTTTTCACATTGGGGATGCTATTTCCCCCTGAAACTTCACTTGCACAAAAGCAATTTTGGGCAGGAAACAGTGGATTTTGCACCAGAAACAGTATTTGGGGCCAACTAAACTGCTTTCAACACAAAGTAAACTTTTCTGCTCAAAGGGCACTGTTATCTGATCAGAACTGGTTTTTTGTGCAAACATTATCTGGGCACAACTGGTTTTTGAACAAATTTCTAAAAGAAACCCCAAAAAAAAACCTTGTGATATTTTGCAAGATCCCATAAGTACATTGGCAAAATCTCCATCAACTTATCTATGCCATTACCAAGGGGAGCAGATTGGAGGCTGCTCCCTCTTATCCATTCCTTCCTTTGGGGTGTAACATAATGTGGCTGCCTCAGAGTAGGATACTGTTGGTAACATATGTGGTTGTTGTTGTTATGTAACTTCAAGTTGCTTCTGACTTATGGCAACCCTAAGGGATTTTCTGGGGCTTGAGAGAATATCACTCCTACAAGATCACCCAGTGGGTTCCCATGGCTGAGCAGAGAATCGAACCATAGGGCCTTTGCAGACTGCCAGAAATAGTGCAAATTGAGTCCACTTTAACTACCCTGACTCAGTGATAGGGAATCATGGGAACTGTAGTTTATTGTGGCACCGGAGCTCTCTGACAGAGAAGTCTCAATGTCTCAGAAAAAAAAATACAATTCCCATGGTTCCCTAGCACTGAGCCAGGGCAGTTAAAGAGGACTCAGTTTGCACTATTTCTGGCAGTCTGCAAAGGCCCTTAGTCTCCAGAGTCATAGACCAGAGCTCAAATCACAACGCTACACAGGTGTTTGCATGTAGGTATAATTATAATATGATATTATAGTATATAGGTGTAATTATCCATGGTGCATCTCTACACTGTAGAAATAATACAGTTTGACACCACCATAAGTGCTGTAGACAGAGATGGAGTGAGCAGGAGAAGCCTCTTTTCACCTGCCATATTTGGAGATTTCATAGTGTATGGATATTCTCTGGCTTTGACATTGTCACCCCTGATATTCAGCTTTATCCATTATATTATCACTTTGTTTTATCACTGTCCTAGCATTGTCATAGCAATGGAGAAAAATCTTCCCCAAAGTATCATTATTATTTTTTTTCACCTCCTGAGATTCACTGCAAGACAAAGGGCCCCTTGCTAACAGGATTTCAGCCAAGTGGCTTGAACTATGCATGAAATAATTTTGACATTTTTGAAAATGTAAATGGCAATAAAGGTGCACAATTGGGAGAAGGACTCAATGAGTTGGAGAAATGGATACAAAAATATGTACATGAAAAATGCATGCCAAAATAGACACATTTTTCAGATGCAAAATAATAATAATAATAATAATAATAATAATAATAATAATAATGGCTACACACAAATTTCGTTTAAAATTGTAAATACATTCTTGCAGCTTGAGACAAACCATAGATGAGTGAGAATACAGATGGAACTGGAAGATACACAGTGGAACTGAGAATGAATTTATTCTGTCATTCTAAATATTTCATCTGCCCTATTTGTATTTTGTCATGAAATATAGTTTAGACACAGAAACAAATTGCAACTCAGTACCGTGAGATGGGGTATACCTTGCTTGCCTTGCTATTTTAAGGTTAGCTCTCATCGGCTGTCTAAGGCGAATGGATACTACTTAAGGTTTCTTAGGCCTGGTCTGACCTCAATGGGATTATCTGCCAGAGCCACTTTGCCAATACTATTGCTTCCAGACTGAAAGGCATCCTTGGGATTCCATTTTACTCGGTGCTTTGCTTTTTAGAGGCTGACAGCTTCCAATCAAAACCCCATGGTCCCTTGGCGAACAAATGCGTCAAGCCTGACAGATATTAAATGACATGTTCAAATAATACTTGCCTCCGATAAATGGTAAAGGGATCCTCCCGCCCCTCCCAAAATGTAGCATGCAATCTAGTGCTAACTCCAAATATTTCAGCAGAAAGTAGGTCTTGTCTGAGAACTTCAGGCAGCAGTCAATAGACATGGGGTTTCAGGCTGAAAAAGAGTATCTTTACTGGTTGCATAGAAAGGGAATTTCAACAGGTCATGCATGCTCCACTTGCTGAAATTCCCTCTTTTGAACAACTGTTATAGGTACAGGAGTCCTGACCTGTATTTATTTTATCTAGCAACACTTTGTTGTTTTGTGCCGTCGAGTTACTATCAACTTACGGTGACCCTAAGGGTGAATCTACACTGTAGAAATAGTGTAGTTTGGCACCACTTTAAGTGTTGCACCTCCATCCAATGGAATCCTGGGATTTGTTATTTTACAAGGTCTTTAGCTTTCTCCACCAAAAAAAAGGCTAGTGCCTGACAAAGCTACAAATCATAGGATTCTGTGCCATGGACCCATGGCAGATAAATTGTTATCACACTGCTTTATTTCTACAGTGTAGATGTACCCAAAGGTGAACCTATCATGGGTTTTTCTTGGCAGAATTTGTTCAGGGGTGGGTTTGCCTTTAGCTTCCTCCGAAGCTTAGAAAATGTGACTTGCCCAAGGCTACCCAGTGGATTTCCATGGCTGAGCAGGGATTTGAACCCTGGTCTCCAGAGTCACCATCCATCATTCAAACCACTACACTATCTGGGTCCTCTGGCAACACAAGCTAGAAGGTATCTGCTCAGCAAAGTTATAGCAGATTGAAATCTGTAGTTTGGTGAGACCCTTTGAATCATCTGTTAGAGAGCTTGAGTACTCTAGTGGATTAGAATCCTCTAGCAGAGAACTGTAAGGACCTCATCAAATCTCATGATTTGTGGACTAGTGATATGACAAGTATTCATTATCATTATTTTATTTTATTATTATTATTATTATTCATTTCCATCTTCCCAGAAGAGTCAGGCAAAGGCAAACTGCTGCAGCTTCTCCTAGTTTTTGTCTTCTTCCTCAGGAATAATTTGCCATCCTGACCACACTCTGATGGTGCTTGGCCACAGGTGTCTTGTTTTGATCCACAAAATGCTGGTGGATATGAGATCCAAAGAAGTATCTGTATCCACATTTGGCTGAGTAAAGATTACAGAGCTTCTATGACTGGGATTATCAGGTTATTCATTACATCCCAAATGGCTTTCTCAAAGTCATTTACAGTAGGCTTTGTCAGAGTTTAAAAAATAATTAATTAAAAAGTACTGGATAAGTAACATGTCCGTAACACATCACTAATAAAGTTAGCAACTCATGCTAATGTGTTAATTGTTAACAACGGTCTTCTAACTTCTTAGTAAACACAATTCCAGTAAGTTAAGCTTGTTTATGTTAAATACTTGAAATGCGTTAAAACACCAGGCATGGAAAAATGGATATCCCAACAGTGGGATTTGGAAACAGTGCCTACTTTAACTTCATTCATAAGAAACAAGGAAAGCTTGGATGATTTTATAGATGGCTGGACACCATGGGCTAAATCTAATTGTTATTCCATCTAGAGTAAAGCCACTGAATCAATGGGAAATTGGTAAATCAACCCTTGTGTAAATTCAACTGATTTCATGGATTTGTATATAGGATTAACCATGAAGACCTTGTATTACATTTTGTAGACTTATATCTTGTTCGAAAATGAATTAACAATTTAAGGGATATAATTTTCTCTCATTGTGGTCTCAGATGGAGCATCTCATGCCAACAGAGTTGGTGCTGGGTGGCATAGCAGGACATTATATAAATGGACATCCAGCATCTGCAAAGATCCAGAGCAAATGATGAGGTTTTTAAAATTTGCTTTAAGGGAAGGATGGGCTGGAAACAGTGCATATTAGAATCAGGCCTTTGGCTCTTCCCCATGTAAACAAGGCAATGTGAGGTGGGAGGGAACAACTGCAAATGGTCCATAGACATGTCCTTGGTTGTGTATTTCTATACGGCAGCAGGTTTCTGTAGGTGATCACTTCCAGCTCTATGGCCAGAATTCTCTATCATGGTCTATGTTGGTTAACTTTATATGTACTCCACTACATTGCAGAGGTGCCAAGGACCAAGATGCATAACAGGACACTGGCAAGAGTGTCCCAATCTACACTGAGCTTTACTTCACATCAGCACTCCCTAGCCAGTGACCCGATACGCATTGGTCCCAATGCACAACAGGTTTGATTCTGCATCAATCCCAATCCCAATGCACATCTGGTTCCACTGTGCATTGGTCCCAATGTGCAACAGTCACTTTTCTGGCTCCTCTATGTAGTGACGCAACAGCAGCTTCTTTCTGAATACGATATTGCAAAACCGCTTAATTCTATTCCCCACTGATAACTCCATTTAGAAAGACACAAGTCCCTGAGTGAACTCTGGCCATTGAGTCTACATTTCTATAAAGAAGTGTCATATGATCTGCCCTTTTAGAGCTGAAGTGAGCAATTTGTGTGTCCTTCCAAACAGGGGTGGCTTACACATCCCCCATCGTCCATGGCCATACTGGCTGGGGCTGATGGGTGCTGGAGTCCAACAACCTCTGAAGGAGCACAGCTTCTCCACTGTCCTTTCAAACTAAGTACAGTACCATGAAGTATCCATCTCCCGGAGGGTAATAAAAAGGGGAAAAAATAACTACTCCCTGACTTAATGAAAACCTTCCAATTAAAGCTTGACTCTTCTTCTGTTCATCACAGCTGGGAGATATTTTTGGCATGTTTTCGGGAAGAATAATTCACATTATAATATGGCCCAAACATTTCTAATAATAGGGGCTCTTTCTAGCCCTTATGAATGGCCTGTACCTGCAAAATTATCTTCCTTCCTTCCTTCTTTCCTTCCTTCCTTTCCATTTCCTTGGAACTAAAACAGAAAAGGGAAGAAAACTATCAGACTGGCAAGGCAGGAATCCATTTTTTTCTCCTCTCTCTCCATTTCTTTGAGGTTCTGTTGTTTCTTTCTGATTTCCCTGTTTAATAAAAACCAACAGAAGGAGAATGTTGAGTTGCTTCTGTGACTGTTTGTCTGCCAAGACTGAAATTGTATTTTGCACTATCCAATTCTGTCCATCTTGCTCAGCTATTCTGCACATTGAGTGTGAAAGGCAGTAAAGCCTAGTGGCCACATTATTAGATTAGGTGCTGAGAGCTGGGCATAATTCTATTGACCTACATCTAGAGCACAGCAAGAAGTGCATTTGTGCATGCGACCTCAGAAAGACTCAGAGTTCACCAGGTGTAGGATGTATGAAATATTTCTTTTTCAACCAGACAAAACCAGGCAAAGACTCTAAAAGTACTCTTTTGAAAGACAGAGCATTTCCTCGCTCAAAATGAGACTTAAGACATCTCAAAGTTTCTTATACATTTGTGTGACTGGTTCAGAATCCTGCCATAAGTACAGGGTCATCTATATGGAGCTCATATTGACATTCAAAACTGAGTGGTATAAGAAGGACTAGATCTTGGAAAATAAGCACAGTCAGCCCTGGTTAGTATTTGGATGGGAGATCACCAATGAATACCAGGTGCTGTAGACTATATTTCTGAGGAAGGAATTGGTAAACCTCCTCTGAGTATTCCTTACCTAAGAAAATCCTGTGAGATTCATGGGGTCACCATAAATCAACAGGTGACTTGAAGGTACACACACACACAAAGATCTAATAAGAAAAATAACTCTTATTTACTCTCAAACAGCTTTCAGTTTCTCCTCTATTTTCATGGTTCCAGCACAGAAGCAGTGGATGGCTTCCACACCAGTAGGCTGGTGAACCTGCTTCAGGTTTTAGTCCAAAGCTAACCAAAGTGTTGAACCTATTTGGGGGATTGGTTTCTGCATCTTTAAAATTTAGACAAAAATATAGAAAAGATTCACTGTGCTATGGACATGGAAGCCACTGGTGGCCACTGTTTAAACCTCAAGTTCTTCCTGTTGGAAATACGATGGAATTGCATACAAAATGTTGGTCAGCTCCAATAAACAGTCCAATAAACA